ATTCTTCAAAGATTGATTAACGCCAAACTTTATATATTCTTTCACTCTTTACTGGAAGGTGACTTAGTCGAAAACCTTCAATAAAAAATATATTCCATTGAACAGGTGAGTGCACCGCAGTAGTTAGAGGTGGCCTGAAATATATACTAGGCCATCGGCGCGATTCTGCGCTCTGGGGTAACAAAACCCCATTTCTTTCGAGGTTGGAAAGTTGCTAGCAGACTTGTTTGGAGGTTTGGATAAAAACGCTGGTTTGACGCATTGGTAGGCTACGGTCATTGTTTGAGCCAAATATGCATTCAAACTCTTACACGATATTTATTGGAGTCGAATGCATCTACCATTCCTCAAAGACCGATCATTTTCTAAACCTTTAACATCCATCAATACTTTAGTAGGATTTGGTACTTTAAGACATCCTTTCATCGTGTCGTTGTTTACTTCCAATGGATATGCTTCTTATTCAGTTTTCACCAGAGTTCAAGCGATGCGTCTGTTCAGAAATTCGTAAAAAGGCTCATGGAGTACTCTTGTCAACTGTGGTGTGCCAGAATCAATTAGGTTTTCTACAGTAACTAATCCCCGATTTGTTCCCATCTTCTATACTATCTTATGCCTCCTGCAGTAACTTTATTTACTGGCAATTATCCTAGATCTATTCTTGCACATTCCACAGTTTGTTTCATAACGACCATCTCATGCGCCTGCCTTGCACATGGCTGGGAGGGTATTCTGTAACCTCTCTTTAACCACTGTTCTTCTGGATTCCACAGTTCGGCCACTGAAGAAGCAGTTGCCAGCTGTAGGCATTCGTCAGCACCTATAGTTCCAATCTGGTTTTTGTATAGGCTACACTGCTGCCAGATGTGCTTTCTGCAAAAGTTTTGTTTAGCCTTCAGAAACATCCTGGAGTGTTCCTCTCAGCCTAGTTCTTTCATTGTCTCTAGTTCTTCAAACTCCGCCTATATTAGGAGGAATATAAGCTGCTCCGTCAGGTCTGAAGGAAGTTCTCCCCACAGTGCTCTCCACAGATCCCTCCACAGCTCTCTCCACAAATCTCTCCACAGCTCTCTCTACAAGTTCTCTCTACCAGGGTCCTTACAGCTTCCTCCTTGAAACTGGTTCTTGTATCCTTCAACCTTCTGAACATCGTCACACCGTTAATATTGTACTGCTGCTATTTTATATAAAGGGCTATAAAAAAAGTTTGGAATTGTGTTCCATGAGACCGCTTGAAAAGTTCCGCGTGGCACATTAACACAAGGCGAGTAGTCACCCGAACTAACAACTAACTCCTCTACCCATATTTCTATCACTGTGCGAGCCACCACATTTATTGGTGCATCGGCTTAACCACTAAATTTTTGTGCTATATTTTGTTTTGCATTGCTCCCATAAATAATGCAGTGGTTGCGCGTCGTCATGATTTCCACCGATATCGATCGATGCCGCCGCGCAATCATGTGATCAAAGCGAATTGAGGTCAACAGCCATCGATCGATATCTTGACACTGCTGCACTAATCGTCGTCGTCGTATTCTTAACTGAGCAATCGCTACTGTGTTGTCCTTTGTTGTTGTCGGGTTCTCATCCATTTGAGCGCGTCTGTCCTGCCTGCCATCGCCAGATGATTGTAATTGATTTACGCAGTTGTTTTCACTTCCTCCTTTTCTCTCTGCCTAAGCAACTTTTCTTTTGGCACTTTAAGGACGTGGCTTAAAAGGTCATAGTCTGATCATCATCCAACAAAGACGATGACATGTTAGTTTCGTGATATCGAATTGGTGACAATCAACTTTTGCCAGTATGGGAAGAATAAGAGCCGGTTGTCCCAGACAGTTTTGGGTCAAATTCAACTAAAAAATACTTTCATTATTCAAATATGCTTATATCGTTGAGTAGGAAAGAATGGATTATACGGTAGCAAGGTTTTCTAATTGTAGCGAATGAAACGAACATCATAATTTCACAATTATTTTCTTTTTTTTCGTTTTTTCTTCGTTCTCATTTTTCATCACCAGTTTCTATTTCACACTTGGTAGTTTTCCCTTTCTAAATTTTCCTCTTCCAAAGTGAGCAGAGACAACTTTTACAGATAACTTTGAATCGTTTCATACACACGAACAACTTCACTTGCCTGACATCATGGCTGTTGTTTCGACTGAGGTGATGTTCTCCTCATCACTTTTCTTAATTACTTCGTACTTAAGTTGCCTTTATCTATGAATAATCTTGATGAAGGAAGTTCCAGCACCATTTCCATTTGATTGGTATTTTACTGGTAAGAAAAGTTTTTCCATAGAATCCCAAGATAACCGTACCATGGCACTTTCAGATCACCACCGTAGGTATCCATCGTCTCGTCTTTTGAGGGTCGAATGAATGTTTCTCACGTAGATGGGGGGTTTCTTTCCACATGACGGTAATTCCTAGTAGTGGTTTCCTCATGACAGAGGTTTCAGACGAAAATTTCGAACTTGTTCCCATTCTAGAGGTGTATGAATTCCACTCTGTACTTCAAAGTACGACAAGGTAGCGCAATTCTTAATAGCTGTAGAAGGGTGAGAGGCGGGAGTCAATGGGGCATTATCTTAGCTTGATGGAAACTAAAAACTCATATATGAAGTAGGACCACAGTGATGGTGAAATATTTGCAATAGGTGGACTTCAGTCCAGATTCGGCCTCGCGATCACCCTTTCCAGGAGCTTACGCGTTATCCACTACACCATTGAGACCTATGCTTTTGCATTTTTCATTGTCAGTTTTTACCCTAATGGTACCATCAGCAATCACCCATCAATGGGAGTGATCTGGGAGGGATAAATTGGCATTGAACCAAGTTAAAGTGGAGGGAAAAGCGCGAGTCTCAATAATGCAGTGGGTAACACATGTGCTCCCGGAAAGAGAAGCCGCGAGTTCGAATCTGACCATGGGTCCAAGTTCTGTAAATATCTCAGCATCGTTGTGGTTGTACTTCACTTAATACCCTGCCGTGAAAAGATAGTAGCAGACATTCTAGTTAAAAACCTCCAGTTACTTGTAAACTACCTACTTGTTTTACTAGAAGCTTTCAATATCTACCCTTCCATTGATTAGCTCATAGGAGGCTCATAAAAAAACCTTATCCGGCTAAGGTTTCGGCGTCGTAGTCTTCTTTACAGCTGACCTCATCCGAAGACACAAATGGATAGTGGAACTACTGTGGACAATCGACTCAGATCTTCGACTCTGAAAAAGGCGAAGACGCCGAAACGCTATCTGTATAAGGTTTTTTAAATCAACCTAAATCAATGTTAGCTTATCAGTGAAAGGATACACGTTGATTATTTGTTCCGATGTTAAAGCGAAGTCAACTTTTGAAAAATAAGAACTTTCACCTTCTTCTATAATCTTGCATATTTCAGAAGATATCGAGCTGTCCTCCGTTCTATCCGACTGCCTGCTTTGAGCTTTTGCATGCATCTACTGGCTCGTATGTCGTTGCTGCTTTCCAAGTAGAGAGTTCGATTGCTTTTTTAAAAATCATATAGTTGCACAAAGCACCAGGAGTTCTTCATGTCGTTTGGAAGACTGGATCTATGCCCCTTCATTCTTTTTTGTTTGTAGCAGATCTGAAGCTATGCGGGCTGTGGGATTTTTCCCACAGAATCATTTAGACAGCAATTAAGTTGTTGTTAGTCGGTATGAGGTAGTTATTTTGCTTCCAAAAGTGTTCACTCAAGAACCACAACATTGACTACTGGTTTTCATTTGATGTTTTCGAGGATGACCTGTTTAGGAGACATGCTTTTTGGATCAATCTGGTGCCTCGGGTAACGAAACATTCAATCCGCTTGGTGTTGGGCAAATTTTAGAAGACTAAAAGACTTGCATGGTAGGATAGAAACCTATCTCTACATGGATTGTTACCTCGATAGGTCACCGGAATTCATTGCATAGAGTAGTCTTCATTGAGCTCTGCGACGCCACGAATGCGGTGTAATGCATGGTGCATCTTCCGAAATTTTACGGACAGCTTGTATCCTTTTATGCCTTTACATTTAAAGTTATATTAACAGTTCAAAGAAATCTATTATTACAGCACACTTTGCTTCATACTATTTGGAATTTTTGCTTTTTATTGCGTCTTTCATGAAAAGTTCTTTGCGTTCATTTTTAGCTCGTACTCCTCATTGTGGTTGGAGTGACTTATTACTGCCTGGAACAAAAACACTATTTCGTGAATGTGGACGCTTTTCGACCAGTAGTCGCCTGTATGGGAACCCTCTATGCGGCCGGCACGATTTGTGCGGTACTGAATGCTTCAATAAAAGATGAGGAATGGTAAAAATAATTTGAGAGCGGCGAATGGTTGGAGGGTGATAAATGACAAAACGATCAAAGTTTTTATTTTTAAATTACCATATTTATTATTAATATTGTTAAAATTATGAAAATATGCTGTCAAAATATTACAAAATAAGATTTATGAAAATTATTACAAAATTGAAAAATCAAAATCAATTATTAAACAAAATTAAATGAAAGAAAAAAGTGGCGACAGCAACTCGCTCTCTTTTTAGAACAGTTGACTTGAATGATTCGTAAGTGTTTTCGTCAATTTTGCAACAACCGGATTCGAACCAGAAAGAGCATGGTAGGAAAAAATAGACAGTACGGCCCGCAGAGTTAGGTTCTCGACTCGTAATTTTTGAACTTTTTCTATTTCTAAGGCTTTGTTTTGCAACTGAATCAACGCCAGTTGTAAAAGAAACAATATTAATGTTGGATGTCAAAAAGCAATGCAGCGATGGTTTTAAAAATCTGGAAAACCTAGAAAAAGCTTAAGTCCAGGCTCGCTTAGTTCATTTGAAGAAAAGAAAGAACAAGAATGAAAACGGTGACGAGAAAATTATTGTTCACTGTTTTTTTCTACTATTCTTATTCTTCATACGTACAAAATCGTTTTTTTCTCTTTTATTGTTTTTCTTTCGATTTCTTCGATAAGTTTCCATTTCAGATGATCGGAGTGTTTCATGAGCGTAGAAGTCTTGTACATGCTCATGTGACGATCGTCACGTCTTTGATGGTGTTCATTGACATAATCGCTGTGGCGATAGTCATCATCATGGCTATTGGTGAGTCCGTCTCGTCTTCCATGTGCAAATGTTGGGTATGTTCTGTACTAGTCATTTGTTCGTTCTCCATTCATTTCTTTGCCATTCACTGTTGGTGTTCGTGTTGAAATGGGAATCAATAGCAATGATACGAATTAGTTTTGATATACGATTTTTACAAAACTATGCACCGAGATTTGTTTATACTATTGAGGTTACACGAGGTTGATACGAGATGTTTATTCGGCTAACGTTTCGACGTCTTCGTCTTCATCAGAACCGACGATCCTTGTCGATCGTCCACCCTTCCTCTTCTCGTTGTTCACTGCCACCCAAATATCGGACTACGTCATCGGACTGGCCGAAACGAGAAAACGCCGCCCATTCAACGCCGTCTACCATATCGGAGAAGAACTGTTCCTCGGTACATGTGACAGTAGAGGGCTAAGCGGCGTTGCTGTTCTCGTCAATATGAGTTTGGTCATGAACATCGATTCGTTTGAACAACTAACGATCGGCCGTTTAAAATTGAGGAGATGTGGTTCAGTACCAGCTTTGACTATCTTCGTTATCTACGCACCGACAACAAACTATAACAAAGTAGTCGAAGCGTTCTACATGGACTTGGAGAATTTCTACAGAAAAGAGTATACGTTCTTCAAGGTCATCATTGGAAATTGTAATACTAGGACTAGACCCAGAACAACGTCTAAAAACGTCACATTGGTACTCAAGGATTGAAATGGAACAAACAGGGTGAGCAGTTGTCTGAGATTAAGACGACAACAAAGACTATTCATGGTAAACCGCTGTTCCAGAAGCAGTGCTCTCAACGCTGAACATGGAAGTCTCTCAGTGGAAAGTGCCATAACGAAATCGACCACATTGAAGTAAATCGAAAGTTTTGCCTAACCGATGTCGCCTTTGTCCTAAAATTCTACATTGGACCGGGCCATCGCCTACTTCTCTTTCGTGCACGATTTCATTTTTTGCGAAAACGAGAAAAAGCCACTAAATGCAAAAAACAATGTATCAAAACCTCCACGAACTGGTACTTATTCAGCTCACTACTCAGCTGTTTGGAAAATGCCATTTTTGATAACAACGACGAGGACTACGATCGGTTTAGTTAACATCTTCGCGTTAACATTACGAAAGCTGAGGGCTCGAAAGCCACCAAGAGGTGTCTGCATCCAGGAACACTTGAGCTGATATACTAGGGTGGAATCGAATGAGCTGCAGATGGCAACCTCCAACTCACAGCCGAATTCGCAAAACAATGCAAACAGGTGGCAAAAGAAGATCATAAGAAGAAATGAGCCACAGTTATGGTCGAAGGTGCAGAGACTAGGAAAAGTTTTCACAAAATTTACCAGAACTTTGCCTATTACAAAACCAAGATAGTTGAACTGCGACGCCCAGACGGAGCAGTTACAGATTCCTGAGAGCGATGGAGAAATTCATTCACGATTCCACTCAGATCTCTTTAATAGTCAGTCATTTTGTCGTCATGTGAAATAAAGGAGGTTGGATATGTCGCTGCATTGGCTGTCCGTTGCGAAACTCGTCTTGTTTTATCGGTGAAGAATCGAACAATTCCTGGTCAGCATAAGAGCTGAGCACCTGCAGAAACTTCCTGGTCCTCATCAACATAGTGGCTCGGCTCTTCACACTTTATCTGTCAGAATTCAAGGTTCTTATTAAGTGAAATACCAGCAAGACTATGTTGTTATTCAAGATGGGTGACCTCTGCGACATAAGCAACTATAGCCCAGTCTGCTTACTGTCTGTCCTCTGCAAACCCTTTACTCTGGTCTTCCTAAACAGGATTGACGATACATTGGACGAAGAACACCCGTGTGAACAAGCAGGGCTTCGAAAAGGATTAAGCGTGATGGACCACACCTATACCGTAACAAAAGTCATTGGAGAGTAGCGAGAATAGAGAAGAGATCTCTCTCACTTCTGTCGACTCAAAGAAAGCTTTTGACTTAGTTGAGATGTAAGTAGTCATGGAAGCCCTTGATAGTCAAAGAGTCCCTACTTAGTATATAAAGATTCTTCGTGAGCTTTACAAAAATTTCACAAGCAAAATATCACCGTTCTACAATGATATGAACGTCGACGTCAAAAGAGGGTTTAGGCAAAACGATACCACCTCGTCAAAATTATTTACCGCCACTCTCAAGAACGTCATACGAACATTGGAATAGGATAATATGGGAGTGAAAATCGATGGTCAGCAACTACACCACCTTCGGTTTACTGATGATGTCGTTCTTGTGACACCAGTTATTAGCCAAGCAGAACGAATGCTTATCGATTTTGATAAAGCCTGCGGAAAGGTTGACCTTCGACTAGATGTCACAAAAACGACGTTCTTGAGGAGCGGATTGGTTTCAGACGTCCACTCACGTTTAACGGAATGAATTTCTGCGAATGCTCAAGCTGCGTCTACCTAGCTCGAGAAACCATCACGATGAACAATTTAGCCCCAGAGTTGAGCAGGGGGGCGTGAGAGGTTTATGGAGCTTTCAAGAGCATCGATGATGTAACGAAGAACACAAAAAACACTCGACTCCATGCCTTCGTTTTCGACTAAACGATTCTGTATAAATTCTACATGAATCAATTTCCTTATACATCCATTCGTCCACCCATCCACTCCAATAACTTTCTTTGACTTTCTGCGTCTTTACTTTACTACGTTTCCATAATTTAGGTTTCTGGTTTGACTTGTGTGATGGTTGTACGGGTTTCAGGTAATCGGATAAAGTATACCTATACGTTGCCGCAACATTTTGTCGATGAACAGAAGTTTTACGCAATACTCGGACCCTTCTGGATGTACCTGGGAGCAATTACGCTTCATATTTGGGTGGCAGTGAATATGTGCTTCTTGCAGGTGCTCAATTCGTTCATCAGTTTTCTTGATGTGAGTTTGGCCGTTGCTAATATTATAAGTTAATAGTTTCTGGTTAGAGGTATTGCTAATTGACACCGATCCGTACTGTCCTCGTTCTGCCGAACAGATGTAGTCGATTTGCAGCACTTCAGCCATTTTGTATTGTTTTGGTCATTTTAGGTAATGTTGTGGAGTAACTGAGAATGAAAAGAAAATCCGTGCTGCATCACTAAACATGGGCGCGTTTTTGAAAAGCACTTAGGTGATCGTAGAATTGTGCGTTGAGCTAAAAATTACTGACTGTTCTGATCAGGAAGGTCAGTAAGCTCTTTTCAATCTTATTTTCTGCTCCTTACCAGCTTCTTGTATTATTAGTTCGTTTAAAAACGCCTTTTCAGGATAAACTCAGTGCGAGGAGTTCGCCTGTCGATCTAAATCGGAAGCATCTGAATGAGAAAGTTGGGGACCCGAGCACATATGAAAACTCTTAAGAAAAAATCATTGAGAAGATAAACTGCTTTTTTCCTTCTGTATAGAACGAAAAAATGTTAATTCGTCACATTTTTCAATTGAGAAAGCTAAAACATTGGAGACGTAATTAACTGACCTCAAGCGGCCATAGATGACAAAGTACAACTTTCTTGTGTTCGCTTATGATCATTGAGGACGATCGAATTTCGTCCGATCGAGTTGTGATTTCGACTGTGGTCTCAGCTTAACTGAGTTCATTGCCTATTTGGGCTTGCCAGATCAATCCCGTTGGCAAGTGGTTGCTGATGCCACTGATCGATAGAATTAGCTGAGAGATAGGCGAAACGAACGACCTACATGGTGTGGTGGTGAACGCTTTAGCCGCTAGAAAGTGTAATAGCTCGTTCGTTCCCTACCACAGACACGTGCAGTCCGGAGTTTTGCAAATATCTCAGCATCATTTTGGCTGTATCACACATAGTACCCTGCAATGAAAAATTGGAAGAGGCATTAAATAAAAAGTTAAAATTTAGAATTCGTCTAAGAATTGCCGTTTCAACGACACTTCAAATCTGAAACGTCAGCATGTGATAGCAATCGAACCGTGTGCCTCCCGATCATGGTATTTGCATGGTGTTTTCACCAACACGCAAGGAGTTGTCTTGGCTGGCTCACTTGGTTCACTATGATGGAGCCAAGAAGTAGCGACGAATTCTAATCAGCTGGTGGAAAAGTGCACCGTGACTTTAATTCCTTCTAAAATGCGCTAATTATACCGATCACCTCAGTGTGAAGGAACTCAAACCAGTCTGTTCGGGTGAAACATGCTGTGTACACAGATGGCAAGCAAAAGCGATGTGCTTGAGGTTGATCAATCCCTTATGAACGCACCATGTATTCGACTCCATCGAAAAGGTGACTGAATACATATTTAACCAGTACAGTGACTTTCGCTGGCACGGGGATCTGTCAAGTCAATATTTCTATACTCCTCCAAGACAAGTCTGGTTGGTACCAGTTTGTCAACCACGGAGAGATATAGGATTTGGTTTGCCCAGTTGTGAGGATCGAAGTAACGAGCATATTTGTATTGTACGACACCATTAACTACTCTTTGAAGATCGCACGTGCACCAATAGTGGGTAGGGTGTAAATTACCGACGTACTTTTCGTGAAAGGTAGGTATAGTCAGGAGAAAGGCATTGCTTGTACCCGATGGAATTTATTCATATCTTCCACCTAAATTTGACCATATGTTTTCTTAAGCTTATGCGGATTGCATACTCTAATAAATGTCGATTTAATCATACCACCCTACAGTAAAGTAAGTGGAGAATGTGTGGAAGACTATCTTGGATGACCGCTTTCAGCGCTCAATGTTGACTTCAGCTGGGGCACCAAATAAACGAAGTATGAGAAGTATACTCGACTCCCTACGCCAGAGCTGAACAAGCAATCCATTGGCACGTTCTTACTAATAATAGTGAAAATAAAGGTTTTCACAAAACATGTAGCACCTAGAGTGACCATGGAATGAAGAGAACCTAATAGATATCTCTAGCAACCTCTAGCTATCTCTGTGATAAATTGGAAGTTCACTGGTACAGTCTTCTTGAGTTGGTTAATGAACTGCTACCTCTGTTTTGAATAATTGAAGGTAGCAACACTCAATAATTTTTTAAAGCACTTTTTCAATCATAAAATTTTTGACTCAATTTAAGTGATACAATGTGCGTGCGTGGTGGATAGAGGTGGCCTGCAATACACACGTAGTCAACGGTTCGATCTCGCGTCCCGAGTGCACTAAGGCTTCCATGTTTCCGGCGTCAGCGAAATGCTACCAGTTTTGCTTGAGAAGATAGCATCAGTAACTTCGCACATCATTGGGCCAACGCAAATGACTTTGTAAGAAAGGTCTACATTCAAATGGTGCTCAATGACGAGCATTATCGCAATTGTCGAAAGCCTATCCTTCAGCCAATTGTACAAGGGTCTTTATAAGATCAAGGAATTGCGAAATTTATTCTAGTCCTTTTCTCATGCAGTTTCTACGTGTTCGTATAACTCACACTAGGTTCTCGATAGGGCTGACTACATCGTAGACAAGGCAAAAAGGCAAAACAAAACTAACCCAGCAAATCGTAAAGATGGAATTAATGTCCTTGCCATCCTCACTACTTGCAGTTTTCTTCAAGTCGAGCTTTAATTTTCCATTCTAAATGATGAGCTACTAAAAAACACTAGAAGTATTGTCAATTCCATTTTATCAGTTAAATAAATTCAAAGTTACGTCTTCAGAACACTCAGACCGGCCTATTGAGCGTTCCGGCCTCAACTCTAGAAGCGTCTTCCCGCACACAGTTGCGTGATGACAGCCGAGTAAATGGAGCACAAGCACACTCAGAGACCAGATCTGTCATCGTTTCGTTAATTTCAAATATACAAACATACTGTTAGTGCCTCGAGTGCTGGTCTGCCCACTTTTCCCATGACCTAGCATGGGAAAATGCGCTGGTCGGCTGCGCTCTCCATCTTGCCTGTTGCGTCTTCGTTTTGAGCAATAGATGGAGTGGTTAGCAAGATTACAATCAGTCAAAGAATTCGGGTAATGCCTGCACTGAAAATCGATTAGAGGATTAGAAATTTCTTTTAAGAACAATCACTTTTTCGAAAGCCTACCATCACCGCTTTCCTACCGTTTCATTTGTTTCTTTGTTTAACAGTAAATTTTATTCTTATGGTTCTTTATGCACTTGAGAAACATCGTTTATGTATTTTATTGTTTTCCTTCCTAAATTTTGTAACAATTGTATAACTACTAGTTTTTTTTATAGGAAACTGCAACATAAGTGAGCGGGAAGCGCACTGGGTAGCGGTGCTGTTCAATAATGCGTTCTGAGCCCTGGTTCGACGCTTCCTAAACCAAGCAAAGCTACTATCCGTCTATATCGACTACCAGATTTGTCAGAGAAAGGCTTCCGACGATGAAAGCGTTTAGAAAGTTGTGAAAAATGTGTGTCTGAAGGTGAACACGACAGTCGGACCTGTTGGAAAATATCGGTTGGTAGGCGTTTGGTATCGGAATCGTTGTGCCATCGACGTTCGCTATTGCGTTACTGGAATCTCGTAGACCAAATTTGAACCACGACGGTATTTGAACCAAAAGTGATAAAAATCCTACCATACGACTCACATAAAGACGTGAATAGGTGAATTTTACTTCTATGAATTTCGCTTTAAAAGATCACAATAAAAAAACAGCAGTTATAGGTCCAGTTTATCAAGTAGAAGTTCTTCTTTTAAGATTTCCGCTACGACTCCTAATCTCAAGTTCGTTGCGTTCTGAACGGCGACCAATTCGTGGATTCGTTCCTTCGTGGTTTTGATGGTTTTCTTTAAAAAAAAACAATATTTTTTTCGATAACTAGTGGATTTGGTGGGTTGTGAACATATAGCTTTATATAAAAGGTTTCGCTCTAATGTTCGATGGATATAAGTGATATTCATAATGCTGTTTAGAATGTGTTATGTCCTCCCAACTGTTTACCGCCTCATCGTGGCTCGGCGGTGTTCTTAGGTGTCTGGCTGTGATATAGAGCCGGAGGCTCATCCACCTGACAGGGTCTCCCAAGCTGAGGAGGAGTCCAACGTTTCCATCAAGTAGCCTAGCTACGAGCAACCGATACCAGGATCCGTCACTCTCCTGACACCAAACTAGTCACGTGGTGGCAAATCTCCATTTGGTCCATAAGGGCGACTACTGCCTGTGGTGGTGACGACCTGGGCAGACTTTGGCCAGGCCGACCTCGGGATTCCAAGGAACCACAATGGCTAAACTAGCAAAGCTCCAAAAAATTGGAGATTATGATAGGGTCAGCCCAACCAATCGGGTCGAGCCATCCAAGTGTCCAAGTAAATAAGTATTTGCAATATGTTACTATGGTCCGTCATACCTAGACATCAACATGAGTAATTGGAAGTATTTCTCAACTTATGAGTCTCTATTTCAGTGTTTTTCTTATAGCGGCACATCCTATACGATATACTATACGATACTATACGATAGCTGTCATTCACTATGAGTCAAAATTGAAATAGCTCTCTATATGTATGGTATATATGTGTATATATATATATATATATATATATATATATATATATATAAGGGGGGACGTATATCATACGTGCACATTTAAAATGTATAAATTTTTTGGATAATTTTAATGGCAGAAAAGAGCTTTACCTGCCAACGCCTAATACAACAGCTGTTTTACAAGTTATCAGTTGGCAACAAAAAGTGTGGGAGAATAGTTTCATGCGTTAAAATGATTTATCAGAAAGCAAATTAAACCTGTGGGTGTCCCACAGCTCACTCCCGCAACACCATTATGACATCTATAGGTGTCACTCATGGCGACAGGGTTTAACAACGCTATAAAGCTGCTCGTTCCTCTTTCTTTCATAAATGAAGAACTTTCAACTCAAAAGACTGGCTTTCTATAGACCTCAATATAAATGATCGATATATTTATTTATATGCTCTTACAAACTGATCTTGTTGACCTAATGTGAGACTGATATAGTTGTCATTGTTGCTGTTTCGTTGTTGTTCATCTTCTTGCTCAATGGCTGGCATTTCCGCGATTTCGTTTTCCTCAAAGCCGTGCTGTTACGAATGGATCGAGTCTTCTAACCCACGTGGGAACGCCCAAGCACGGCTATCGAAGATTCTAGGGAGAATCGACTCGCCCAGCATTCAGCGAATGTTATACTGAAGACGCGAAGCCTCAAGCCTGCAGCTAAACTCATACACGAAAAGTACGAAGAACTTCGTGGATGACGGATGCGAAGAAACAAATCGAGTGCAAGAATTACTGGAATCCGCACAGTAGTTGTGGTGATGGGTCATGTAAAATGAAAGAGTCCCACTCGTAACAGCACGGCTCTGAGGAAGACGAAATGGCCGAAACGTCCGCCATCGGCCAAGGACTATAACAACGATAACGACAACTATACCAAC